GAGAGAGAGAGAGAGAGAGAGAGAGAGAGAGAGAGAGAGAGAGAGAGAGAGAGAGAGAGAGAGAGACGGACTGCATTGAACGTCACAGAAGAAAAACAAGCAATTAGTCCAAAGAAAATCGTAGTTAGTGAAACAGAAACGGGTGGAACACACGTAGCCTATGTCACTGAATGGTACACAAATGTACCTGTTAACAAACAGATCAGAAGTTCAAACCCTGACAGAATCAGATTCATACGATAAGGGCTACCCCATTTAAAAAAAAAAAAACAGAAGAAAAGAACAAGAACACCACTCCGAATACGCTCCGACAGCTTGACAAAGGCTTCAGTCTGACCGTCTTCTCAGGCGAATAGAATAGAACTTACGATCCTCATCGCTGCACCCAGACTAAAAGCTTCCCAAAACACTACAGCCATAATGACTGTATGTTCTATATTTGGCAGGCAGGCGAACACGGTATCGCCCATCAAGCCTTCAGAAGCTCTTGGCTGACGGTGATGTCCATCAAATCCATCAATTTTTTTTTATTTTAGTTACTGCTCACTGACCTCTTTTCTAAACCCAATTGTTTTCATGGATGGCCTTCAGACTGCCAAAGACCGCAAGTTAGATACATGCATACCCAGTATTACCCGCACATCCCTCCCCCTAGTGGATCGATCAAACCTACCCACATGAGTTGAGTACGGAGAAGAACTTTACAGCAAGCACAATTCCAGCAGATACCCCATTGGAAAGAGTTCTGAGAATACTCACGTTTCTTGCCATTGATGTGATCCAGATAGTTTGCAGAATCCTTCACTATACATTCACATACATCGCAGTAGAACCCTGCCTGACCCCAAGATCCAAAATTGCATTTGTTGCATGTAGCAAAACCGTGCAAATGCCCGCCACCCAACCACACACACACACACACACACACACACACACACACACACACACACACACACACACACACACACACACACAGAGAGAACAGACACGAGCACACACAGAGAGAGACAATCATTGCAGACATCCAATAAAGATCACAGAAGCACAGAGATGATGGTAAGAGTCGTAACTTCATAAGTGACAGTCGACATCACATAGCACCTGAACAAAGCAGAGCAGCTACAGCTATAACTTGCCAACCACACATGTCACATAAATTCTGCCGAACATCCACAAGAGAGCCAAGAAAGACGTCCGGTAGTCTGCTACCCACAAACATAATGCCTGTTGGGTGTCTGGTAATAATCGTGTCAATGTGATTGAACTACTCTTCAGATATCTCCACGGTTCAGTCTCTATGAGGAGGGACATAAGCCCATTGTAGACGCTGTGAGCAGAACCCTTGCCCTGTATCTTGTCACATATCTACCAACTCAAACAGCACATCCGTTAACATTGGAGCGGCGCAGAGAAGATTAGCATAGCCCAATGCGCAAGGATGACAGACATAAATTGAGAAATGGTAAAAAGAAAAAAAGCAAAACAAAAAACAGCGCACTTTGTGAAACGAATGAAGAAAAGAGCAGACTGCCTGAGGCACAGTGGCCAGGTGCCCACTGAACAAACCCGCTGGTTGATGGGCATGTTCTAGGAAGCTGCTTCTCATCAAAAGACGCTCATACAAAATGGGCCATCACAGCAAGCACGGGGTGCATATTATCTCAGCTGGCAGAGTAGCTGGCATCCGCTTACCAGTGCCCACACAACACTGGGATTACAGTTCACATCCTCTGCCCAGGGTCCAGCAAAGGTACCCTGTTTTCTTCACTCGGCCTATGGGAGGGGTGCAGGGGAGGAAACGTAGAGTGAGGAAGGGGGGAAGGGGGGAAAGGGGGAAGAGGAATGAAGAGGGTGTATTGAGAATTGGGGAAAGGAGGGGAGAGAAGGAAAGACGAAGTCACCGTAGGAC